ATTTCGGTGTCAGATGCGTCCTGAATTTGGAAGTCATTCGCAAAAACCTTGCCTTGTTTTTTCAATTCTAGAATGAATGTGCTGTTTGCTGAAGGTAGAGTCACATTGTTGCAAATGACAGGGACAACTACAGCCCCTATGCAAAGGTCAACCTTCTTGTCTCTGCTTCGAAGCGCTATTTCAAGAACATTTCACTTTTGTGCATTTGAAGAGCAAGCGCTTCCGAAGATATTCAGCACCAACCGGCTCTGTCTGACCACTTTAAGGTTAAGCTTACGAGCTACATCTTCCTTTATGAAACTTCTTTGGCTTACGTCATCCAGAATACCTCGAACGTACTGCCTGCTGTTGTTGTTGACCAACTCTGTGCGAAATGTTCGAAGATAAATTGAGTTGTCCGTAGGTGGTTGGTAGGTGTACAATGTGTCTTCACATGATGAAAGAGCGTTTGAAGAAACACACACGGCGGCACTCCCTGACGTTCCTGCGGTAATCAAAGACCTCTTGTAATTGGGGTCACACATGCTGGAAGCATGTCTTCCGAGGCAGGAACTGCAGGTGAGTTTGATGCAGCAATCCTTTGCTCAATGGCCTTTCAACGTGCAGCGGAAGCAACGGTTGTTTTTTTGCAGCTGCTCTTTCTTGACCTCAAGAGGAATAATGGCGTGGCAGATGCGCATTCCATGCTGATCAGTACGGCAGAAGAAACACTGCAACCTTGCGATAGATGCAATGTGCATCACTGACGCCGTAGGGACATCATCATTCACTTCGTCAGTGCGATTGTCTGTTGCAGGACTTAGACTTGGGGTTGCATACTGTTCTCTGCTTTCGAGCTCCACCCACGTGAAGAGTAAAAGGTCGTTCAGCTCCGCGTCGAATGCTGCTGCCGCATCCAATGGTGCACTTGACGAGGAGGTTCAAGCAGCAGATACCTTGAAAGGCTGTGTCAAGGGGTGGTGTCGTTTTTTTCTAGTGAAAGAAAGACCGATGTCCCGCGGTAGACCCTTCTGCAAGATATCGATGAGCATAGCTGAATAGTTAGGATCAGCACATTCAGGGCTCCAAGGCAGCAAATATTCAACTTCGTGGCATCGTACAACCTTCGCAAACCATGGATGTTGTTGGCGGATGTCACCCTAGGGAGATTTCTCAGCCTTGTCAGATGGTGCTGAATAATCACCGTCTTATCGCTGAATCTTTCTTTCAAAGTATGCACGGCGTCGGCATAGCAAGATGCGGTCGTGGGAAAGCCCGCGATTGCTGTCCCTGCGTCACCGGATACGAAGCTCTTCAGGTAGTAAAACTTTGTGGATGGCGTCAGGTCGTTATTGCGGTCTATTAGCCGTTCGAATTGCTCCCAAAATCCTGTCCACTGTGCAATGTCGCCTTTGAATGTTGGGATCTGAAGCTGCAGCAACCGGGGTGTCATAAACCTTGCGGGAGCCTCGTGGTTGAAAGCCATGGCTGCTGTGCTTTCACCGCTGGCCGCTTGCGCATGACCGGCCTGTGCTCATTCTATTTGCCAAAGTCAGCACATCATCTCCGCAAGCATGCTGAGCACTTCATCTTGGTATTCCACGATAGCTGTGTACTCCTCTACAGTACGTTCGGTTGAAATATACTGGTCATACTGCTCGTTAATCTGTGACAGCTCATCATTGCTAGCGGAGAGTCGTTGCTTTACGGCTGCGAGCTTTGCGATGTCGACGCTAGTGAAGTCAAGTAAAATTCGCGCTTCCTGAATAATCTTTGTGTTCTGCGTGCATCGTGCAGATCGCTTGCCTTTGAGTCGATCTATTTCGAGATCACTGCTGCTGGCTGACATCGTCCAAAGCCAATCCTCGCCTCCACCAGTTGAGTCCTCACCGCCGCTGACGCGAAGTGAGAGTAGAAGCCCTGTGCGCCGTGCGTAGAAGGAAGGCTTGTCCGCACGTGGGATTTCGGCACCAAAAATTATGTGGACGCTACAACTTTAACTGGTGCGGAAGAATTCAGCCAGAAGCTATCGTCGCGTTTATTTTCAACATATTCATTAAGAGGCACAGTATCTGGCACCATGTTCAAAGGGCTTGGAGCATTTCAATGTACTCGTCAATGCATGATTTGGCTCCTTGAAGTGTGTATTAATTTTTAGTAATGAAATAAAAAAAAGGGCTATCTACCCTACCATACCTCCACATAATTTGGCAGATATCAATGCAGAGTTTGGCTGATTTCCCAAGGCGCATAGATTTTTGTACCCTCATTTGGTACAACACTCACACTTCTGTGCAAGATGTTTTTCAACACCACTTCAGCCAATTAGTTATGCTACTAAGCCCCAACATCATGTTGCTAACTGCTGTTGCCGTGCTTGTATCCATTACATTAATGGCTCTGCACTAAATATAAACATTCGTTGGACCCACCATAGTAATAATTATTGGAGTATAACGTCCCAAAACCACCATATGATTATAAAAAACACTGTAGTGGATAGGGTTCATAGCACCTAAGAGAAACGAAATTCAAGGGTTTTCAAGGACTTTCGAGGACCTAACAAGGACTTACAAGTACTTAACAAGGACCTAAAATAACCCGTGAAACCGCAGAAAATGGCAACACCACTTCTTACAGCATAAAAATTTGTACTTTATTTCAACCGGTTGGCAGCATGAACGCACCTAAGTTACCATGTACTGTAGTCTGTTTTGTGTTCTCAATGTGTTTCGTAGTCTTCATGAGAATTTTAAGGGCAGACTACCTCAATGAAGAGACATCGAAGCTCTCCCCACATGAGAAAACTTTGCCTGAAGCGAGTTTGACGTATCAGGTGCAACCCACTGCCTATAAGCAGCAATGCATAACCAAGACAACTGGAAATTGCACTTGCCCGGCACAGTTCCACCATAAATGACGCGACTGCAAATATCCGCGCACACTTGCACATTTTCCACAAAAAAGCCAGATTTAGCTCCGCTGTTGCTGCTGTAACCACGCAAGCACTACCACAACTACAGTGTACTAGAGGAGTACACTGTATTACAACACTGCAATATGGTAAGAGAAACGGATTGGATTAGATGGTTTGTTGGCTAAAGCACATAGTTGCCAGGTGCACAAAAAATCCACTAGATTACGGCTGAACGAACTTTGATTGGCGAAATTCAAGGACATTTAAGGACATCAAACAAATTTAAGGGTCTTCAAGGCCTCAAAAACGCCATTTAAAAATTCAAGGGTTTTCAAGGGTTTCAAAGACCGCTACAAACCCTGAGTGGAGGTCTCCAGAAATTTCAAAAACCTGGGCGGCTTTTAACTTGCACCTAAATCTAAATATAGGCCTCAAGCAATTTCGCCGCCAATGAAAATGCAGCCGCTGTGGCCGAGATTCAATCTCGCAACTGCAGGTCAGCAGTTCAGCATTATGAGCATTAGACCTCTGTGGCTCATTCGTGAACTCTATAGGGAGTATGCACTGAAACTCAGCCGTAATGTGGCGCTGCGGTGTGTCGGAACGGGTGCAATTTTTGAGGTTTTCACGCAGCGGCCCATGCTTGCTACTGTGCTTTCGGTGTCTATGTATTGGTGCAGTATGGTGTTCCCAGGCCTTCCACGTGCATGTGTGAAGCCCTGGATGATAGAAGCCCTGGAATCACCGAGTCATTGTCACAGCCAGAGTCAACACCTTCCCAAAGCGAGTTGTCCTCAATTACGTCGAGCGCGTTTGAACACCCAATTTTCTTTAAGCTCTTCTCGACAATGCTGGGAGAAACCAGGTCCCACGACACGGTGATACCAGAAGAGAACCTAAGCTTTCGCATATAATTGAAAAAGATCTTCTTCAACAGCAGGAAACTTGTATTAGCAAGAGCATGCTCCTCTGCTTTCTCCTGTACCAAAAGTCGCACATTGAAGTACTTCACGCTGATGTGCTTCGTGGCAGCACAGTTCCGGTTTTCTTCGAAAGAGTTTGTAACTGCGAGCTTGAGTTTTGCTGTATACATAATTATTGTATCCCAATGCAAGCAAACAATAAAAACACGATGGACGTATGGCGAAACCTAAACTTCCGAAATTACCTAAGCGTGAGTTGCAGGTGCGAATGTAGAGAATGAGAAAAAATCAGCTGACGTACCAGGCCCTCGCACGCCTCCGCTGCAGAAAATAGCCCGTGCCATGTTACGAGCAAGCATTCTAACAGAGGAAAAGATGCGGAGTTGGAGGGTGGCAAACACTCGAGCATTTTCGACATTCATTCGACAGGTTCGGGTGCGGTATTCTAGGAACTGTAGTACAGAAGTCCTAAAAAGAAAATCGACTTCATACTTGCAGCTTGTTTTAACATGACTGTGCCCACCTGCTCGGTGAGGAATGCACCCGTCCAAAACATTCAAAGGTCCAAATTCTCTTTATGCGTGCACCATCTCGCTGGCTCGTGCAGATCGGGGAGCGCAAATTACGAGATAGTGCAAACTATGCAAGTAAGTACCTATATTAGAGCTGAAATGTAGCAGAAAACAAACATGGACTCCTTTTCTGATGTAGCCAGAGCAATACCACCATCAGTGGCAAATGAGGCCGAGAGCATAAAGAAATCTTGGAAAAGCTGCACGGCTGGTAATTTTATAGCTTTCTTGTTAGTTTTGTCGATCTGATTTGTCTTGACCTGACTGGTTGATATGAATTTGTCTCTAGCAAATACAAAGGTTAGGATGTGTTCAAAATTATTGACTTTGTAGAAGTAAGCAGAAGTCATTATGGGAGCCTTGGGCTTCTAACACCGAAGCCAGTAAGCTACCACTGTAGATTATATTCTAGCATCGCGATAAGGAAAAGTATCACACTTTTCAAACCACAACTGCCTTGGTCTATGAGGTCACAACAGTGCATTGAAATTTAGAGAAATCGCTCAGAAACTGGAATATTAAACGTAGTAAATAGTCCTACAGCACAGAATATTGCACTTTTTCTCAGATTAGACATTTTATACAGTATGTAGTAAAATGCGTGCATACCTTTATCTTCAGTGCCTTTTTCAGGGCAATGATGTCATTCTCTCGAGCTTCCAAGCTGGCACGCACTACTTCAAGATCACGTGCTTGTTGGCGGTGTGCCTGAGCTCGCAGCTGGATAGGGGCAATAGGTTTGGGCTGGGGTCCTTGTGGCTGTACTGCATCAGCCATGACCTCCAGGGTGCTCACCGCTGCTGCCAATGCTTCACGCAAGCAGTCAGGTCCCTGTGAGAAATGCTTACAATCTACTTGACCTGTATAATCCTTATGCCATAGTCCCAAACAACTGTAACACGACTCAGTAGTAACACCACACGAGTTCTGCCATTCACAATGTTGCTTAGTGATACCAGCGTGATTTGGGAAACCTGAGCCTATCCTTCCTGCCACCGGGGCAGAGTGGTGGCTGGTCATAAAACACTATCACTCACCCCTGATTCCAAACTGATTGGTCAGAAATCTGCCACATTGGCCAGTGGTGGTCCTTTATTTGCCACCAGCCAGCAGTAACCTCCCAAAAGGAGATAACCACTATAAATTAAATTAATAGGTAAAAAAAATCAATGTTGTTCAAATTTATTTATCAACTTGACCAACACATGATAGAAACAAACCCCCCTCCCCCCCACACACACAGTTTCTCAAACAGTATCACACATCCTAGCCAACCTACCCCATGTTGCATACAAGGAGAAATCCTAGCACTCTAACTGTCGACATATTTCTACACTGTGTTGGATATGTCGATACAGATTACATTTCTTAACCCTTTGCCGCACGTTGTTGCATTTGTGAAACATTCCAAGAAATGGAAATAGATAGAAAAGAAAACCTATCTCAAGCCACCTCTACATGTTGTTGCAATTCCAAAACATTGCTTTGAGAGAGGCAATCTCTTGTGCAGCCATCAGTGCTCATTCTGTGAACTATTCTAAAAATATCTACAGCAAACGTTGCACACACAATACAGGTAAGTTTTGCCATTTATAAGTGCATTGCCTCACTAAATTAAGCGCAGAAAAATTTCTTAAGCTCGACTACACCTCTCGATTGTGTAGATTCCAGAATACACTGTCTCCTCATAATACGGTAAGTAGTTTGTTCTTGGAGATGGAATGTTAATGTTTGTTGTGCTAATGCAACAATGTGTATAACGAGTTTGTTTTCTTCAGAAAAGGTAATGGGCCCTATATGCTTCTATGGCAAAGTAATTCCTTCTGATAGTCAAGAAAATAACATTCCTGGTTTGATGACAACTGTGGGTGTAAATCTATTTCCATTCAACATGTGTACAGCATGTTTTTTCGTCATATGCCCAAATTTTCTCAGAAATTCAGTGTATTCGCATGCTACCATGTCGCGTTGTCCCGCAAGTACCCTTATGTCGATGATTGATTGATTGATATGTGGGGTTTAACGTCCCAAAATCACCATATGATTATGAGAGACGCTGTAGTAAAGGGCTCCGGAAATTTCGACCCCTTGGGGTTCTTTAACGCGCACTCAAATCTAAGTACACGGGCCTACAACATTTCTGCCTCCATCAGAAATGCAGCCGCCGCAGCCGGGATTCGATCCCGCGACCTGCGGGTCAGCAGACGAGTACCTTAGCTACTAGACCACCGCGGCGGCGCAGTGCTCTTATGTCGCCCGCTTCTATGTTCTAAATTTTGGGCCATACCTCTGAAACACTGAGCGTTGTGGTGGTGTTTTATTGCACATTCCTCTCTGCCCTCTGTTCAAAGCATCTTCACCTCATGTCCTTTGGACCCTGTTCTTTTTTGTTCTTCGACAAAGCTCAGAACTGCTGGTAGTTCTCTCTCCTCTCAAATTACACAGATTTTCTGGTTAGTTTGTGGCTGAATTTCGCTGTATTTTGCCATTAATTTTGTTTGTTTTGTTATGATCTGTTTCCTCCTTCTGAGGTCCTCTGAGTCATACTACAACAGGCTTGACACTTTGCCAGAGTCATCCTAGGAACCTCCATCTAGGGGCTCCTCACGTTCTTTTCACTCAATTCCAATATTAATAATGAAGATGTTTTACTTCCTCTCCTTTAAATACTCAACCTGATGTGCAAGTCTCTTGGCTGCACGGATATCTGTATGACACACTGCTACTGTATAAAGCGGAATATAAGTCGAGATATTTACAATAAAACAACGATCTAAAGTCGCCCCTCGTCTTATATAGCGGTGTCTAGCCGACAGTGCACTGCTGTCTGGCAACCTGTGTCTTGCATGTGCATGAGAAGCTGGACACGGCCATATTCGCATTCAAATCCAATAGCAGGTTGTTTTTTTTTCTGTTCTTTTGTGTTCGTGATTTGCCTCCGATCTGTTCTAACTTCTTGCTCCGGTTGACATTGTGTTTCATTTTTAGTGGTATTTTTTTCGTTCAGTAAACATGAGTAGCAGTATGAGAAGGCAGTACTCAGCTGCGTTTAAATAGAGGTTGTTGAGTTTGCAGAAGCAAATGGGAATATGGCTGCTCAGTACCACTTTGATGTATCAGAAAAAAGAGTGCGCTATTGGAGGGCGCAGAAAGGGAAGCTGCAGATGTGCAATCCTCGGAAAATGTGATTTCGTGGGCAAAGTGCAGTTCATCCACAGCTGGAGGATACGCTAGAGAACTTTGTGTGGGAAGTTCATGCGTGCTCGCTGCCAGTGACCGTGGATACCATTCGCAAGAAAGCTGTGGAACTCGCTTGAGAAGCTGGGCTCACGAGAGAAGAGTTTCGTGCACCAAACTCTTGGGTGCGTCGATTCATGAGACGCAAAAAATTTTCGTTCCGGTGGTGCACATCCATCTGTCAGAAGTTTCCAGACGAGTTCGAGGACAGGCTTATAAACTTTCAGGGCTTCGTGAACCGGCTTCGGGAGCAGAACAACTACATGATGGGGCAGACTGACAATGCCGATGAGACCCCCATGTGGTTTGACATGCCTTCATCGACCATGATCATGCAGCGTGGCGCCAAGAATATGAAGCTTTTGTCCACCGGCAATGAGCACTCGCGTTTCACCGTCATGCTGGCATGCATGGCAGATGGTAGGAAGCTTTCGCCCTTCATCATTTTCAAATGTAAGACAATGCCGAAGAAAGTGTTCCCGCCCAGTGTTATCGTTCGCGTCAACAAAAAGGGATAAATGAACGAGGCCATGATGCTCGAATGGATACGAGTAGTCTGGAACTGTAAGCCAGGTGCACTGCTGCGTCTTTGCAGCATGCTGGAGTTAGATGTGTTTTGTGGTCACTTTACCGACGCTGTGAAGCGTGCACTGGGCGATGGGAAAAAGGACCTCGTGGTGATACCAGGTGGTATGACGTCCACCCTTTAATCGATCGACGTTGTGCTAAACAAGCTGTTCAAGGACCGAGTGCGGCTGGAGTACCAAAAGTGGATGTCCGGCAACAACCCAAAGAGACCGATGGGCCGCCAACAGAGGCCTCCGCTTGCGACTGTTTGTGGCTGGGTGCTTTCCGCCTGGCGTTCCTTGCCACATTCCATGGTGGAAACAGCTTTTTAGAAATGTTCCATCAGCAACTCGCTGTATATGGCACGGAAGACAACGCACTGTGGGAGCGGCCAGCGGCAAACTCTCGTCTTCAGAAGACAGTAGTGCTTCGTCTAACGAATAGAAACAGTTGCGATGGTGGCTGAAGGGAGCTCCGACGATCGGGGTGCGGTGCGCCCAGTTCCCAAATAAATGTCGTTCGGCAATTTAAGGTTGTTTTCCTTTTTTATCTTTTTCGGTAACCTGAACTTGGGGGGTCGACCTACTGTAATTACTCGAATCTAACGCGCACCTTTTTTCCCGTTAAGGGAGTTCGTAAATTGCATGCGCGTTAGAATCGAGTACGAAAAAAAAAAAAATATCTGAATACGGTCATTCTATTGCCATCGGCATATCCAAAATGGCCGCCCCCTACGTGCGTCGGCATGGTGCGTCGGCCATTTCTGCCTATATGTTTCCCATGTGCGGCACTTCGTACATGTGGTGAGCAGTTCGTCATCTTGTAGTGCATTAGCGTCGACGGCATGGAAGGACCGACTCCAAAAACTCGAGTGCTCCACAATGCCGCCTTTAAAAGAAGAAAAGTCATCGCGTGTGTAGAAACGGACGGAAATGGGCCGCATCACGGTTGTTCAGAGTTCACGAAACGTGCATGTGGGAATGGCGGAAACAAAAGCAGAAGATTGTTGACAGCAAAGCTTCACGCAAAGGCTTCAGTGGACCACAGCAGGGTCGGTTTCCGCAAATTGAGGAGCTGCTCGGCGAGTATGTGCTTGAGCAGCGAGCGGCACAGCGGCCCATGACGACAGAACTGCTCCAAGTGCGGGCTATCCAGTTAGCCTTGGAATAAAAAAAGGGCTAATGCGGAGCCAGTTTAAAGCGAGCAGGTGCTGGCTAACTAACTTTATGAAGAGGAAAAGCTTTTCCCTCCGAAAGCGAACAGGCATATGCGAAAAGTTTTGAGAGGAGTACGATGAAAAGCTTCACAGTTTTCAGAGGTTCGTCCTAAACTTGCGGCAAAACAACGGCTATCTGCTTGGGCAAATCGGGAATGCCGATCAGATGCCTCTTTACTTGTACATGCCTAGCACCACAACCGTCGAGAAGAAGGGGGCGAAGCAAGTTGGTGTGCTGACATCGGTCCACGGTAAAACTGCAGTGATGGCAATGCTCTGTTACTCGTCAGATGGGCACAAGCTTCCCCCGTACCTCATATTTAAATGGAAGACGCTCCCGAAAGGAGTCGTTTTTTTGAGTGGTGTGATCGTGCGGGCCAACAAAAAAAATGGGTGCGCGTTGCAATCGATGTCTTACTTTTTTTTTTTCGTCGTCGAAACCGGGTGCACGTTACAATCGAGGGCGCGGTAGAATCGAGTAAATACGGTATATTCCCACTCGACCTATAGTCCAGTTTATACAGAAGTGTGGAAACGAGTTTTGCTCAACAAGCAGTAGCAACTGCTTTCTTTAGTACCACACAACAACACTAATACACCCACTCATTGTCATGTAGAAAAAAATATTTTCATGTGCAAATAAAGATTTGAGTCTGAATAGAATCGAGTACTTTTCTCTTTCAATTTGTTCTTTATTTGCTTATAAGGAAAATTCACAATTTACCCTTTTTTAGCTTTTACAATCTGTAAAAATCCACTAAATTTATTTCTGATGGTAGAATAGCTATTGTTATGCTTCTGTGTGGCTTCA